ATCCAACATCATAGGGTGCTGTACTGTACGTGAGGTGCCCTCGTTTATTAGCACCACTGTATCATACTCGTACTCGTACTGCACCCATTTTACGGACTCCCTCCCAAACAAACCACCCTCACTCCCCCTCTCACAACATACTCGTTGCTCTACCCTCCTTCTGCGGATCGGATCCCCGCTTTTAATCATGGCTTCTTCCATCGAGGGAACCGCTCAGATACAACCAAGCAAAGCCCTGGGATTTCTTGGTATACCCCTTGCTGCGCTTTAGCTGCTTCATTCGAGCTTCCAGGTTAACACCCCGCGGGTTGGTAGTTCTCGGTTCTTCTGTACACGATGTTCTCGGTCGTCTCCGTGCTCAACCTCGCATATTTCCCTCCATCTCGGTAATCTATGACTCTGCTGCACCGTTAGCCTCCCCGATCGTGCTGACGCTTGATTCCAACGGTCTACGCCTTCGTTTCGATGGACCAGACCAACGCCTCCGGCTCATCGAGGTGCTGGACTTTCAGAAATCCAGATTGTCCTATAATAGCGGTGAACTGACCAGGCCTGGAACAGGGACGGAGGGTCCTACTTTCCGGAGCATTTACAATAAGCTTTTTGGGCCCACCTATCCAGGAGAGTACATGGAGGACCAGGGTGTTTATGTGCTATCGTATCCTGGAGTTGCCTTCTCGTTCCCAATCAAAAAGGAAGCCTGGAAGGGGGGTGCAGATTTCGTGTCGGTGCTCTCGTCGCCCGACGCCCAGCCTGCTAGTAGCATGGCTATTTTTGCTGGTCCGTCTTGGCTTGAGGCACGAACTGGCTTATTCACCCGACCGGTACAGAACCCAAGACTACCTCTTGTCAATGGGGCCAGTGCTAGATTGTCTTCTGCAAACGATGAGGTGGAGTTTGTCAGGTTCCGTGACGAAAATATGGTGGAAATAGTTCGCCGTCATAACCAACCGTTTTGGGTTAGGTTGCACTCGACCACTCCTCAAGACCTCATCACGGAGCTGGGTCCTCCAAGCGCGATATACCGGAAGCACGATCACAGGCTGTCCATTCATAGAACCAGATCGTTATCCGGAGGGGCAAATGGGAGAGGCCACCAGGACGATACAGACGATACAGAGCCGGAGGACGCTCAATCTGACGACGAGGAAGACGTGTCCGATGTCTCCGCGACATCAAACAGCGATTACTTCTACAACTACTTCCATCACGGGATGGATATATTCATATCCGCAACCCGCTCATCTTCGCACCCAGTAGCCACCAAAATCATCCTTCACGGAAACGTACCCGGCAGTTTCGAGTTCCAAAGATACAGGCGGGCCCGTTGGAGCATAGAGCTCTCGGCAAGCCCCAAGAAGGTGGAGGAGCTGCGACTGCACAGTGAGATGGGATTTGATGAGGCGTTGCCCCTGCTGCGCGAGAGATTCGGGGAAGGGCAGAGGCCCATGCCCCTGAACCGGGGCAGCGATTCGCCGAGTAGTAGCTGTGAACTATTGGGCGGATGGGAAGATAATGAGAGCGCAGGGGATAAGGTTGATATCAAGGTTGTACCTGGTGGAAGTGAAAGTACATTTGGTAATACAGGTACGGTTTGCCCGTTTTGCCCCACCGAATAAGCCCAGGAAACTGAAAACTCTAAGTAGAACTATATGGATTCCCTGGATTCATATTTGAGGTGCTGAGAAACAAAGCGATATCATCTCTGACGGTGTTCTAAGCAAGGTATGCCTTGTGTCGAGCGCGGTCGTTACCGGCGGCTTCTGGGCCTATGAGATGTTTATCTGTATATCCATATACCTAACCCCCCCCGTCCGTTATTATCTCCCGTTTTGTCCGTTGCATTACTTCCCTGCTTTTCGATCATTGGCGCAAGAATGGAGTGTTCCGATCCCCATCCCTCTCTCTGGCCGAGGGCCTGACGGATTGATTGTAATGGGTTTTACGGAGTCTTGAGATTTGTATTGTTGAATCTGCCCCGCATTTTCCGTCGTGATTTCTCAAGGTATAATCTCATCTAGCATATATTTCATAAAGTACCAGCGTAGCCCCCCTCTCTATGCAAAACTCCACAAAACTCTACAAAACCATGATACACAACACACTCATTGAAGCTTGAGAAAATATCTATCCATCCCCCCACATCTAGGCCCTAGCTTCCCCGGCCGCGCCTTTGAATCCTTCTTCCTTCTCTCGGACTCCTTCACCACCGTCACGCCAGCAGACTCCTGAACAATCTCACGAATGGTCCTCCGCGAGAGACAAAAGTCCACATGTTGATTGAAAACCGCATCATCGGCCGGCAACGACCTCGCGCAAATCGGGCACTCCCACCTCTCCTCGCCAGCCGCCATCTCCGGTGGTGGAGGTGGGTCTCGTAGGGCATGGTTGGCGGACATGTTTAAGGAAGCTTTGATGGCCCCTTCTATCGCGAGCTGTTCCTCATCCTGGACTTCCTGGGATAAATGCCCGCTCGGTAACAGCCCGTCGAGTGATTCTTCCGGCCAGACTTCCCATTCGGCTTCCCCGTCACCTAATTGCGCGTTGGGGCGTTGGAGCTTTGCTGGTGGGCTTTCTTCCCCTTCCCCTCCTTGCCCACGTTCATGTTCCTGATCCGGGCGTTTCCGCTTCATCGACTGGGGATGGTTCTTCCTGAAAAAGTTGTTAATATTCCCAGTGCCCTTCCTCGCACTGGACAACTGTGTCACGCGTAGACCCATCAATCTGATCTTCAACGGCTGGAACTCAGCCTCAAGCTCCTGCAGCAGAGGCAATGCATGATTATACAAATCCTCCGCGGAAGAGATCGCGCGATGCAGCGCCTTCTGGCGGGAGTGCACCTGATAAGTGTGCAGCTTAACTTTAATAGTAATTGTGCGTCCGGCGAGGTTCGCCGTGAGCAGGTCCTTCTCCAGCTCCCGCGCCGTCGAGTGGAGTTTCTCGCGTAGCGGCCCGGGGCCGGAGAGGTCTCTGAAGGTGCTCTCGGTGCCCAGACTCTTGCGCTCGTATTCAGCTACCGGGTGGATGTAGGTTCTGCCGAGGCCCAGATAGCAATTCAGCAGGAATGACCACGCCTTCTCGCTGAAGAGCTTGCTGAGGATGCCACGCAGAGCGAAGACGTCGCCCCAGGTCTTTACTCCCACGGCGTCGAGCTCGCGCTCGAATACGCGGCCGACCCCGTTGACTTTGCGCACGGGGAGGGTGCGCATGAAATGCATTACCGCTTCGCGGTCACTGGGGATGCGCTAGTTTGGTAAGTTGGGTTTGTGTAGAGAGGGTCAGAGGGTAGAAGAGGGGGGGGGGTAGTTACAAATTGGCCGTTTGGCTTGTTTTGGTTTGACGCGACTTTTGCTAGCTATCAATGTTTTCTGGTTTAGAGTTTTTGTTCTTGTTTTCATTTTTTTCTTCTTTTTTTGGTAAAAACGTCGTAACGGGGAGCGGTGGGGAAAAATACCCTTGCATTTGGTGCAATTCCAGCAGAGACACTAATTTTGGTGTATTCGAGAACTTCGCGACGGATCTGTTCGACGACCTGGTCGGGGGTCATGTCTTTATGGTCTTCCAGATACTGCGCTGGTGGTTGAGAATTGATTGTACTATAAAGGCGGAAGGAAAAAGCGCCGGTAACTACCGGTAGACGTACCCCAGTAACGTTCAAAAAGGCCTCATCCACACTCGCGGCTTCATACCTGCCGTCATACTTAACCAGAACCTCGCGCACTTGTTTAGCCTTTGCGGTATACTTGTGAAAGCTCAAGGGTAGGAAGACCAGCTGCGGGCAAAGCTCTGAAAATGATCAGGACACGGAACTTTATAGGATTTGGGAGGATAGTACCTACGCTTCGCAATATACCCGGCCATACCGCTCCGTACGCCAAATTCACGAGCCTTGTAGTTACATGTCGTTAGGACCCCACCGCCTACCGCCATCGGGACTAGGCCCCGTCAGTCCAAGGCCTCGCAGCACGGCACTACATGGTGAGAGGCTATCTACCTTCTTTAAGCTCCGGCCGATCAAGTTCTTCGACGGATGCATAGAAAGCATCGCAGTCGACATGTATAATGATCTGGGAGAGGTCTCGCGAGGCCTCCAAAGCGGAAATCTGCGCAAGTCAGAGGCGGGATTTGTAAGGCACTTGGAGCCGGTCCGTTAGCACACCTCTTCGTCTACCCGCCTTATTTGTGAGGATAAGTCCAAGGACTCTAGATGCTTTTTCCGTCGCAGGATTATCTCGATACGTTTCGTGAGCTATGATGGCAGGGCCTAGTCAGCTAGGAGGGTCGGGAGAGCGCTGGAGGGTAGAGACATGCCTGCTCATCCCTCTTCTCCTCGTGCTTGAAAAATTTCGATCCCCTCGAAGCGTTATATATGATTTCCCCAACCCTCTCTTGATCGACCCCGTCCTGCCCAGCCTTGAGCAGCGAGGGTCCGAGCAAAGAATGTCGAAGAGAACTGTGGCCCGCTTCATCTACTTCCGGCAGTGGTTTATCATCCTCGGATGCCATATTGCAAGCAGTTTGTATCTCCGGTAATGTCGAGAGAGAGGGGAAGGGGAGGGTGCTAAAAGGTGGATCTGTAAACCAGGGGTGTAGAGTGAGGATCGGTGTGGTGAAAGCGGGAAGACGCGTTTTTGTTCAATTTTTCTGGGGAGACGCGTCCGACACGGTTTTTAGTGGGAGCTAAAATTTTTAGTGATGACACCATCCAGCCCACCCATTGTGTGTGCCAAGGGCTGCTTAGTAAGGGAGGTGGGCAAGATTGGGGCATGATCAGGCATCACATCGCACTCGTATTGTACGATACCGGTAAATTATCTTGTTACAATGAATTGACTGGAAACGGCGCCGGAACCGCAGGTCCGCTACCAGCATGATACACAATCTGGTGCCTTTGCAATTCAAATCAGCGTCCCTATCGGCACCGTGCCCCATGCCACTGTACTCGTGCAGTATGGGGTGGTGTTTCTCGCAGCACCTGTCCCCCATCAGCAGAAACAACTTAGTCATGCATTGTCACTCGCAGTGCCCTAAGCACGTTTGCGCATTATTCTGGGGGAACATCATGCCACGAGTACCCGTAGGCGAGGAGTGAGCGATTGCGGCAGAGCCAGGAGTGTCTGGCCTGGCGGGAGGGTACGGTACCAAGAACACGCCGCAGATTGGTCGTGGGTCACGAGTTTCACTCGGCTCTGGTCTAACTTATGAAGCGACTCAGCCAAACGCTCCTTCACACACACAGGGCCCATCCCCCCGCCCCGAAGAAACGATGACCATGCCCTGCGCTAAGTTTGGGGGTGTTTGCCGTGGGAGGTTCTGGATTGTCTGGCCAAATTGACGGGGGGTGGGAGAATCGGATTAAATGAAGGGGGATACTGGCGGTAAGTACTCTGGTAAGTGGTGACGGCAAGGGGAGGATTTCTCATACACACTATACCGGTGTACCGGTGGCACGGCAGGCTTCTCGTTTGTAATGTTATCGTGATTTTGTTAACCCACAGTATGGAGACATTCTACCGATACCGTAAAGAAACGAAACACTTTTGGCCATTGCCCCCCCGCGTCTAGAATGTACCCTGGGTGGGCTATGGTGGTGGGAGGCGTGGTATTACACTGTACCGGTGCAGGAGCCCGGGTCGCGAGCAAAGCCACAAAGAAGTGGAGGCACGGGCATTAGTTACGAATGGCATGCCGGACGATGTAGAGATACGATACCGGTAGTTTATGTACGGTGGGCTTAAGCAAGGTGGTTGGGGAATAAGGAATAGGGGATAGGAAATGGAATAAGAAATCAATAGGAATGGATGGATGAATGAAATAAAATTAAAACAAATAATAAAAAAAAGTGAATACCCGTACTGTAAAATTAATAATTATCATAAGGATATCCCCCGTATACCGATAGGCTGTCGCGAGTTCGTACAGCCGCTTAAACTCTCTCCTATCCTTCTTCCCCTTTGGCTGAATCTTGCTCCTGAAAACCTAGCAGAACTGCTGTTATCATACCGTAGCAGAGATAAATTTACCGGTACAGGCCTTTCCCTCCCCCGTCCCATATTCATACCGGCACCCTGCAGCTCAATCGGCAGCACACCCTTCAGGACTCAGGACAACATCCCGGGACCGGGCGAGGAAGAAGAGGAGATAGGACCATGTGCCCTGAGCAATGAGGGATTGTGCACTGTCATGACCATAACCGCTGCTACAATCTCCCCAACTACGAGTGCTTCAGCTTCCCATCCAGATTTAGTCGTCTCCACTGCCCCGCTACTAGCTTCTGGAGCAGGAGATCGCGGCTTCAGTGGGAAAACCTCCATGTCCTCGAATAATAAGCCACCCCTCAAATCCTTACACACCACTAACAACGTCGGTAATAATACCAACCCCTCCGCACCGACCCCGCGTCTTGCCGCTTCCCAACGTCCTGCTTCGAACTCGTTGCACCCGAACCCCACCACCCGCTCTCCTCCATCTGGCGCGAGGAAGGGGAGAGCGGAGACAATATGCTCGCCTGATTCGGAATGGCATGCTCCAGCTGCCCGTCCTTCCTCAAGCTTGGAGCAGCGGCCATCGAGTTACCGTCATCAAATTACAACACGCCCGACTCCTTCGAAACAGAGCTTGTCTACTGCTGGCAGCAATGGAGCTACCGCCAAATTCTTTCACGCAAACCAAGTGAGACCAACGAGACCTTCGCTATCAGCAAAAGTGTCCTCAACACCCCCCCCTCTGCCTTCACCAAGAACGCCCCTGGGGCAGCCTGCCAAATTCTTTCACGCCGACAGCATTCCTACATCTGCTCCTCGGTCGCACTCTCCTACGCCTCCCGTCCTCTCGCCTCGATTTCCAGGGCAGGCAGGCTCTGTGAATGATTTCATTCAGAATCCTCATGAATATATCAGTGAATTTACTTATTCAGGACCGTCATCTATGGTGGGTGGCTCTCGGCCAGCCTCTGTTCTCTCCGTGACCCCTTCGACACTTCCGGAACCTCGTAGCCATGTCAAGTTTGTGTATGCGAATGGGACGGAAGAGATTTTGCCTCCCAGAAGGTTGGGATCGGAGGTTGGTTCAGCAGTACCATCACCCCAGCTAGCTCAGGCTCCATTTTCGGGTTCCCCAACGGGCGCGCTGTCGCCTATCGGCTCCCCGAATCCTGTCGCGAACCCGCAGACGCAGTTCTTCAAGAGTCCACACTCTTCGCCTAGGTCTAGTGTAGATGCTAGCACGAGGCATGGCAGGGCTCTCTCTATCAGCTCAACAATTGATATGGTGGGCTTGTTGAAGGGTGAACCCGCGGGGGAGGACAGAGACAGCAGTAGGGCTTCTGATGACGATGCTTTGTCTGCCAAGGTTGCTGCAAAGGCCAAGATGAGAGCAATGGAAGAGGCTGCTGCAAATGCCCGAAGAGAGAGAAAGGTAGATATGATGTGGGCCAACAGAGGAGATATTACTGATACTTGAGCTTAGGTTTTAGACTTGGAAATATCTAATACTTCCTTAATGGCCATTAACAAGACGCTAGAACGCCAGATGAGAAAGCAGACAGCTGAGCTAAGACGCTATCGCCGACTTTCGCGCACCGGCCAACTTGCCTCACTTTCTAGTGGGGGGAGGGGGAAGAGGAGGAAGGGAAAGAGTTCTTCAGATCACCTCTCTGGCGGTGATGACGAAGTGGTGTCTAATTCTCGGACTGCATCTGATGGGGGAGCTAGCGATGCAGATGAGGAGGAAGACGGGGATTCATCTGATGAGGGCGGAGATGACGAGGGGGGGGATGATGAAGGGAGAGATGGCGACCTGACAGCCGCTAAACTTGAGGTGGGGAAAGACAGGGCACCGGACGGCGGCCGACTAGATCTCGACTTGTCAAAGCACCGAGCCCTCCTCGAGGCCTCTACAAAAATGAATGTCTCTCTGAAGCGCTGTCAATATATCGCTGAGCAGCTCATAAAGGAAGGGGAAAAAGCCCTAGAATACAGAGTCCAGCCGTCAGACGTCCACCTCGGTGGCAGAGTGTTGACAGGCGACAACGACGAAGAATTCGAAGGCGAAACCGGGGACAATGAGGATTCGAGGATGGAGAACACGACACCTGAGGGCGGGACTGGCGATGGGGAAAGTGAGGGCGATGAGGAAGGGGAGTACTCTAGCCGAGACCAGGACAGCCAGGCCGAGGGCGATGTGGATGATGAAGAGGACGAAGGTGAATCTAGCGGGGTGTACGGTGAGGACGGGGAGACGTCTGGCGGTGAAGATATTTATCCATTCAAGGATGCTGATCGAGTGATGCTTCCGAGGTTAGCGGGGTATGTTGAGCCTATGGCATGAGCTCCTTTGCTGGGGAGTGATGTCAGGTCGAACGGGAAAGTGTCAAACCTTGCATGGCGGGTCCTTTTGTTTTCTTTTTGTGCGTGTTTGTGTCTGTGTGTTGCATGGATATTGAATTGGGAGAAGGCGTTATATGGACAATTTGACTCGCACCGTAGCCTACTGTATTGTTTTGCGTCCCCTCCCCCCTCCTTTATTCACGAGAGTTTTCTTTTTTCTTTTCTTTTTCTTCTCGGGAATAGCTTGAGCTATGTTAGTGACACCGCGTCTGCTGTGAGAGATCCGTGACATGAGTGGGTAGACGAGTGGGCACCGGCTGGTATGTCACCACTGTGACTTGTCTTGGGCATGGAGAGATTCTGTGGTAAATGTTTGGTTCTTTTCTTTGAGTGAGCGAGTGAGTGTGTTTTGCATCCGAATGCCTTGTTCATCTCCACTATGAAGCCGTTTTTTCTTTTTCTTTCTTTCTTTCTATACGTGGGGAAGGTAGTGTGTTAATAGGTTGATTGGTTGGGTTACTCGAGAGAGAAAGAGAGGATCCGTATAGACTATACACTGCTGTGGGGTCATGAGGGTTGAGGATTGAATATATGGATTGTTTGATATTTATGGTACTGGCGGGCTTGGCCATGGTGGTGTGGTGGGCGGTGATACAGTGGATAGCTTATTGTCAGCGTTGTTCGTACGGGTAAAAGAGTTATGATAGGACTTGACACAAGTGCTGTACGAAGTATGAAGGGTCAATTGCAGGTAGAGCTTGATCCTACTGTACTGTACAGCTTGATCACTCAGGTCAATTGCAACCTTCAAACCGAAATATGTACGATACCACACCACCCCAACCTCTCACCCCCGGCATACCTGCACGACAAAGCTTACTTCCCCTCCTCCGCCCTTGCCTTAGCATCCTGGGCGGCTGCAGCCTCCTTGAGCGCAGTATACCTTTTCGCCCTCTCCCGCAACTGCCTCCCTCCCCGTCGCCATTAGCCCCAATCATCCCCCATCTCCCCCCAAAACCATCTAGCATGATATTGGAAAAGAACTCACCTCCCTCTCCTCGCTCTCCCTAATCTCCAACTCGCGAATCCACGCCGCCTGCTTCTCCCTCGCCTTCGCTTCAACCACTTTGGCCTCAACACCCTTCCGCTCCTCGCGATCCCGCGCCCAGTAGAAGCTACCGGCGCACATGGCGGCTACGGTGAAGGCTTGGCCGTATATGCGCGCGCGGAACATCCGGTTCGTGCGCGCCTTGTCGCCTGCTCGGATGGCGCGTGAGGATTGGTAGAGAGCATAGATAGTTATCAGGCAGCCTGCCGTGTTTATGTATGAGACTTGGGTGGGGTTGGGAGGTGGGGGGAGGGGGGTGTATGGGAGGAAGGGAGGGACCTATGGGGATCAGGGGCTCTTCTTTTAGGCGGCGAGCGAACTTTGAGAAGCGGGATTCCTCGTGGAAGTCGCTTTTGGGCGGTGGTTGTGGAGTTAGGTATTGTAGTGTGGGTAGCAGTGGGGGATGGTGGGGTGGGTGGAGTGGCTTACGAATCGCTGTCAAATGAAGATGGGAGTGGACGGGAGGACATTTTCGCCCTTCTTTCTGGGGCTGCGTGAGGTGAGGATGGATGAGTGGTTGGAGTTGAGATGAGATGAGGTGCGGTGTGGTGGTCAGGTGGTATGTATAAGATTGGAATGATCGAAGGTGTTGGCCTAAGTTATGCAACGAGCTCGAGGGGCGCCGGCGTCCGTGGTATGGTGATCATACCCGTACTGTATTTATGCATAGATTTATGCCCTCGTTCGCGGACTGGATAAGTGCAGGAGGACAGTGTATCATAGCAAGGAAAAAGGAAAACAGTTTCTCGATATGAGGGCGGGTAATGATGGCTCGAAAGGGATTGGGATGATGAGCCTCTTGTTCCCGCAGTATCATACTCGCTCACTCACCCACCCTGGGCCAGCCAATCCCTACCGTAGCCTGCCCTTATCGATAAGCAGATAAACATCCCCCCTCTCTACCATCCGCCACTGCAACCAACCCCGGGACAACTTTTTTCACTCTTGCTCCCCACTGTGGACTAATTTCTCGAGGGCTGGCAGCGCTGCTACACTGTTGCTGCATTGAGAATGGCAACTGCTTCCAACGGCCTTACCGCAAATGCTCTGACGGAGTACTCCTCCAATATCCCTGAACAGGGGAGCGGAAGGTGTAGTCCTGTTTCTTCCGTCCCCTCGGTTTTTAAGCATGAAGATGGGAGCCCGGATGTAAGTTGCGCGCTTCTCTTTTCCTCCTTTTTTCGTCCCCCATGTTTGGTTAGGGCTGAGTGGCGGGGTGTGGAAATAGTACTTGCGTTTGATTCTTACTTCGAGAGTTTACGATGTCGTCAAGGAGACCCCCGTTACTCCTGCTGTGCATGCCAGCAACGCGCTGGGGTGTAGGGTTGTTCTTAAGCGAGAGGATTTGCATCCTGTATTTAGTTTCAAGCTTCGTGGGGCTTATAATAAGATGGCTCATTTACCTGTTGAAGAGAGGTGGAAGGGTGTGATTGCTTGTTCTGCTGGTTGTCTATTCCACTCCTCCGTATCCTTGCATCAACATTGGCTAATCGCGATACTCACTCAACTACAGGAAACCACGCTCAAGGTGTCGCTTACGCTGCTAAGCACCTCGGCATTCCTGCGACCATAGTCATGCCTACTGCCACACCAGACATTAAGCACCGGAATGTGAGTAGACTGGGCTCAAATGTGGTGCTTTATGGCAGCGATTTTGACGCTGCGAAAGCACACTGCAAGAGCTTAGAGGTTAAGTACGGGCTCACCAATATTGCGCCGTTTGACGACCCATACGTGATTGCTGGGCAGGGGACAATTGGTGTGGAATTATTGCGTCAGTGCAATTTGGAGAACCTCAAGGCTGTTTTCTGTTGTGTGGGCGGCGGAGGACTTATTGCTGGTGTGGGTGTCTATATCAAGAGGCTGGCACCCCATGTTAAGGTAATTGGGGTTGAGACTCATGATGCAAACGCTATGGTCGCCTCATTGAGGGCTGGTGAGAGGATTACTCTGAAAGAGGTGGGATTGTTTGCGGATGGGGCTGCGGTGAAGGTTGTGGGGAAGGAGACCTTTAGGGTTTGTAAGGAGTGTGTTGATGAGATCATCGAGATCTCCACCGATGAGATTTGCTCTGCTATTAAAGATGTGTTTGTTGGTAAGAGTTACACACTTGGGTCTGGATAGTTACGATTTTAACGATATAAAGATACCCGCTCCGTTGTCGAACCGGCTGGCGCGCTCGCATTGGCTGGATTGAAGAAATATGTCGCTGCCAACCGTCCGACCAACGAGAAGGATACATTCTGCGCCATTCTGTCCGGGGCCAATATGGACTTTGACCGGCTCCGCTTTGTGGCGGAGAGAGCGAGACTTGGGGAAGGCAAGGAGGTTTTGCTTTCTATTGTGATTCCTGAGAAGCCGAAATCCTTTCTCGAGATGATGCAGTGCATCCTTCCTCGGCCAGTGACCGAGTTCTCGTACCGTTTTGGGGACTCTAAATCGGCATCCATTTTCATGTCTATCATTGTTCAGGACCGTTTTTCTGAGATTCCTAGTATTTTGGGCCTTCTTAGAGAGAAGGGATATTATGCCGAGGATATTAGTGATAACGAGATGGCGAAGTCTCATGTTCGGTATCTTACTGGTGGGAGATTGCCTGATGGGTGCGTCTCCGAGGAGAGGATATATAGGTTTGGTAAGTTTGTGGCGACTATGAGGTTGGTATTGGAGCGTGCTGATGTCTGATTATAGAGTTCCCTGAGCGCCCCGGTGCCCTCGAGAAGTTCCTGAAGTCTTTGCACCCCGCCTTTAATATCTCCCTCTTCCATTACAGGAACCAGGGTGGGGGTACTTCTCACCGAATCCTTTCTAAGCATTGCGCACTGACACGACACTTCAAACAGATATTGGAAAGGTTCTCGCAGGCATTCAAGTTCCGGTGGGTAAACGTGAGGACTTGGAAGCCTTTCTCGTCAACCTCAGGTACCCCTTCGTCGATGAGACTGAGAATACTGTCTACAAAAAGTTTATGACACCCATTGCTGAAAAGGTGGACGGCGCGTGTTTATAGACGGATATCTTTGGTTTGGCAGTTCCATTTTTCCATAGCCACGGTAGAAGGTTTCATAGGGATGGACTAGGCAGGCACTAGAAAATATCTGTTCTTCGTACGGTATAAGTTAAGTACCAGTATAGGATTAATAGAGCGATACTTCATCGGATATTTGCGAAAGCTGAGATGCTATGGTATGGTAGTCCATGTGAGATGGGTTAGGGTTAGGCTATATTGTCCTGGATGGTTCAAGGCTCAAGTGTCAGACCACCAATGACTTGATTGAGACTCCCCAACCACGCGTTTCTGGACCAGCATTGCCACACCAGATATATAAACCAAAATGGGACAAACACACTCTTCCAAACAGCGCCCCCAAACTTCCGGTTTGCCTGCCCCTCCCATTTCTCTGGAATCCAATTACAGTTTTTATTATTACCAAGGCACTTTCACTAACCCGGGCAATTTGCCCTAACAGCAGAGGAACTCTCTCACTACCTTGCAGAGCGCTTCGCTGACCAGAGCTTCAACGGAGTAGAGCTCTACTCGTTCAAGGACAACTTCCGCACACTAGCGGACGTGCACAAGTCCGGGGCTGGCCGCGGTGGGCTCTTGTATTGGAGCGAGGACACGCTAGCCAAGTTCCTGGCGATCCCGGACTGCCTAGAGGTGGGGCCGATACTGTTCCGCTCGGTGTCGTATATCGGGGCGTTCCCGTTTCCGAGTCTCGCCCCAGCTGTGCTGGACTTTGAGGCGCTGGTAAAGGTTGTAGTTATTCTAACGGGAAGATATAAGAGTGTTATTCGGAGGCGCAGGCCGGATTCGTTGAGGTTGTTGTTTAGGTCTCTGGCGGTCTATGATCGGGGGATTCAGCACGAGGGAGAGGGTGGTGGTAGGGTGGGGGAGGGAAAGGGGAAGACGATAGACGTGAGCGTTTCTTTGGGAGATGGAGGGGACGAGGGGGATGAGGGAGATGAGGGGGACGAAGGAGATGGAACGGGCGAGGAGGATGAAGATGACCTGTCACTTGCGGCTTTGGACGCCCTGGATGCAATTGAAGTTTTTGGGCATTCTGAGAGGTTGAATATTCACCGTGCACGTATCCCATTGGATATCTTGAAGAAGTTGACTGCCTTTTTGCTAGTGATTGCTCCGCTGGAGCCTAACCAATCCATAGCAGAGTTTGCTGACAGGCTTACACCTGAGGCTCTCGTGGGAGTGCGTGGCGCTGCAGAGTGCATTCTTAGAGGGTTCAGGTGCGAAGATGAGAAAGGGATGCTATATAGAGACTTTAAGCTGAGTATCAAGAGAGCATTGGTTTGCTTCCTTATCCCAGCTACGCCGGGTTGCAGGATCTGACCCGCGTAGCCATATATGTTCACCCCCTTGAAGCCCCTCTTCGAACACCTCCTCTTTAGCAAAAAAGTCGACATGTCCATAGCTACCCCCTCAAACAACCCGGAGCCGTCAATGCCACTGCTCCCAATTGAAGGCCAAATAATGGACCTCAACCTCCTCAGCCAGCTCTCCTTCTTCATCCCGGGCACCCACCTCTGGCGCCGACTCCGGCCCCTATACGTGGGCTCAGAGGCAGGTTTCAGCATGGGCTCCTTCGAGACAAAAGTGCTGAAATGGTCTGCTCCAACCATCCTCCTTGTCTCGGGCACACGCCTCCCCTTCCCCGCGGAGACCCACGCGCAGCGGGCCTTCCTGGACCGCATACCGTCAAAGAAGTACTCCCAATCTTCGGGCAACCAGTGCACTGGAAGACTGGTCTTCGGCGTGTTCCTGAACGTCCCCTGGAAGCTTTCGCATAAGGGTTTGGCACAACAGAATCCTAGGTTCTCCCGTGTCATGCCACCGTCGCTGACGAGAAGACAGATTACTTCGGCGACGCTGAGTCCATGCTCTTCCAGCTGGAGCCTATGCACGAGGTGTTCCGCGCGTCGAGGTCTTCCACGGAGTACGCTTACTTTAATAAAGATGATGGCGTAGGTTTCGGCTCGCCAATACAGAAGCTTAAAAACCACTATCACCACCGTGGTCAGAGCTACCTCAATCTTGGCTCTGTGTCGTTAACATTCGACCACTCACTCGAGTATGGTGTTTTTCAGAACACCGGGGACGGCGGCACCTACCATAGTGGCAGAGAAGCAGATTACTACTCCCGGGACGTTTTCGAAATAGAGGAGATAGAGGTGTGGGGCTGTGGCGGGAACAGTGAGGCCGAGGCGCAGAGGAAGGCATGGGCATGGGAGGAGCGGGAAGCGCTGCTGCGTAGGCAAATTGCGCTCGGGAAGGATCCTGAGGCGGATAAGGTGGGTTCTGCTTGTTGGGAGCGGGAAGTTTTACTAATTTGTTTCTGCTTTTATAGGCATTGTTAGAGATGGCGGGGTTGGTGGGACAGAATCGGAGTGGGGGGAGTATGCCTTGAGCTTGTTTGGTGGCATTCTATGGTTCACTGTTGGCCCTTTGCTTGTTTATTTCTCCCACCTTCGCTTTCCTCGTGGATGGCTTGACGACTACTGAAGTTGTGCTACGATTGGACCCATGCTGTATCATAGGAACATTGGGATAACAAAATGGCGTTGTAAATGATAATGTTGGTACTATCATATGCAAGGTCGGTCATCGGCTCATTATTATCTACCTGCCGCTACCAGTGCCTACCATTGCTATCTGGGGAGAAAGAGGAGAATTGAGGGAAGACATGCAAGTACGGTATGAATGATAGGCGAACTATCATACCAATTCCGGGAAAACAAAAGTTGCCGAAATCGTCGCCGTCGAAACCCCCTACGATAGGTAAACTGGGGTCGAGTGACACACCACCACCACCACCCACCACGGGAACTATAAAAAACAAGGACGGGATTTCCAATTTCGAGCCTCACGGAGCCTCCGACCCTGATCACAACAATCGTGACCACAGTCACGGCCAATCCCCCGCTACCAAACAGCGCCAGAGTCACAGGTTGAAATGAGAAAGAGGGCCGCGCACTCACTCGTTCAAGTCCCGTGCTCCTGCGCATGCGCCTTGAAGAATGAGTTGTGCGCGCCGACGAGCTACGATACGCGGTGGAATTCCTGGACAGTGAGGTTATTCCGCGGCCCTACGGCAGTGGGGGTTGCGGGGCTTAGGTTAATCTCGCGGATCACGACAGATACGATCTCTTGCGGGATTAGGTGCAGTACAATACGGTGCCATGCACAATACAACCTTCCGTACTACGATAAGCTAACCGACAACCTGCCAACCCTGGTTCGAACTAGCGGGTACGCCGCTGGTTCTCCAGACTCGTACCTCCCTCCGGCCCTTGACTGGCCCCACCACAACCACGGTACCATCTAAGCGCTCCTAGAAACCATACGCCGTCGACGACGTAGCCACAGTGCAGGATGAGCTGCTCAAACTCAAGGGACTTATTTGTTCTACGGTAGAAGAGAGCGCCCCGCAGGAAATCAGGAAGATCAACAGGAGGGGTAGGGTAGCAGATAGTATGCTCGAGTACAGGAGGTTTAGAGTGCACTTGATAGCGTTTGTAAGGTGTGGTGGCGTGTGGCGTAAGGAAGGGAGGGAGAAGAAAGGGCGATCGCTCGGGCTGGCTTGCGTGTGCTCTAGTAGCAGTGGTATTGTAATCTGGTAGGTAGGTAAATTATGGTGCGGCGGGCAATGTTATCTGCGATATCTCTAAGCAAGAAGAGCAACGGACAAACTCTTATGATGCACTAACTTAACCTAAGCCGGCCTAGTCCGGTCTGACCAGTGGTGGCTACGATATTACATCGATCGAATCTTGATAGTACCTAATACCGTATTTATGCTGGGGAGCGCCGGATAAAAAGGAGCCGAGGTGGGGGAGAATGGAAAATGTGGAAAAACCGGCCAAAGCAAAAAACTAATTCCATCCCGAACAGACAATGGTGAAGTAGGGAAAGGGGAGGAAGAAAGGAAAAAGTGAGAGATGAAGTACCACCGTCTGCGCCGTCTAATTGCCAAAACACCAAAGTTATGAGTGGTAGCCAACTCTGTCGTAGTTAATGGGAAAACATGAATGCGTTGGGGAGAAGAGTAAAGAAATAAATGGGGAACCCGGCAAGAAAAAAGAGAAGATAAATAAAGGACTTCATAAAAACCATCCCGTACTCCGAACCGTATACAGTTATGCCCCATCCCCTAATATACATGCGTGGGTTTATATGCACCGAATTTTGAAATGCAGGAAAAAAACGACAGGAAGGAAGAGGAGGGTTGAACAGGACTCACAATTCAGAACAAGGAGAAACCTTCCGCCCTAAGCAATATAATTCAGGGAGTAATCGGAAGGTATTGGAGCAAACAGCGCTCGCTTGCTTAGTATCGACTCCAGCGGAGACGATAGAGTATGGGCTGGGCCATGGAAAGAGGAAATGACTATGATTTGAGGGAAAGCCTAGATTCTTGGGACGGGTTTGGAGGTAGGTGGGCGAGGTCAGGAGATCGGGTGGGAGTTTTAGTGCAGGATTTAATAGTGGGTTCAATTCGTGACTCGTCGTCATCGGTGATAGCGCCGGAAGATATCTCATCGTCCCGGCGTTTGTAGAAAAGAAGGTATGCCTTAGATTTTGCAACATCCTCCGGAGGAACCCTGGCAATCCGATCGTCGTCCAGTAGCCACCATTCTTTTTGGTGCTTCGTATAAGCGACATAATGTCCAAAGTTGGCGCTATACTACATCAGCAAATGGGGAAAGAAAAGGGCTAGATTTGGTCATACCCTGTCCCTTGGTGAACAACTACCGCGTAAAGATCATATAAGATTGGGCTATCGACATGCTGTTCACACCAGGTTTTCATGTCTAGGCCTTCCAGCGGGAATCCAACATGTGTATCAACTTTCTGCTTGCCCCCGCGTACTTTGTGGCTCCTCCAGCGGAATCGTTTTAAATGGATACAGAGAACGTGAGGTAATACTCCGAAAGCAATCGACTTCGAGAAGGCTGCCTCAGACCCACAGGACAAACAGGAGCGAATGGTGCCGTTTGTGGATGCGGAAACAGAAGTGGATGGGGGAGGAGAGCCCTCAAGTTCCTCAGTGGTAGCAAACAGATTCAAGCATTCCTCAAGCGTACTTGAGCGCATATCACCCTTAACGACTGGTGGCAGTTGCTCGGGAATAACCAGGCTGAGGTCGAGGAAGGGATCAGGTTTGATTGTATATTCCGAGCAAGAGTGACATATTATCTGATAAATCCTCCCATCAATAACGGAGCAGATTAGACAAAACAAGGGGATTGGCACCTTGTTCCACAGTATACCTCCAAACACAGTCTGCACAATCGTGTCCTCCTCCTCAATCTGTTCAGACGCAAGTTCATCCTGCATTCGTTCTAGGGAGCACTAAGCAATGGTTAACGGGGGTTGCTTCACATGTGTCAAAGTACACTTACCCGAAGAAATTCCTGAGCATCTTGTTGTTCATGACGCTCATGGAAGGAAGGTAGTACTGTAGCCACAGCACTAGCAAACTTGTGGGGTGAAATAATCGGGGATAGGGAGAGGGTGGAACGGCGTGCACGGGATCCTGTACGAACTTTGGTTGGGATGTGATCAACCCACATCATCTTTAACAATCGAGAAAACTCGTCACAAAGATTGCTGTATGCGAGTGAGCTACGACAGATCCTGAACCATTCTGCCGAGGAGAGGAAAAAGCGGGTACAAAGGGGTACATGGGGGTGGTGGGTTCGTACATGTTGGTGGGAACTATAGCCTGTTCCTCTAGCCTTGCAGCCCTACGGGTCCTCGGCCTCGCCATATGTAAACTTAGGGTAGCAGTGGAATCGCTGCTACTCATGCTGGCATCCGATTCCTCCATGATGGGTGGCTCTCGTTGGAGGAAATATTCTCGGAGAGCACAGGTATGGCTCAGCGCTTGGATTACAGCATTGTTGTAGCAAGTGTTGCCGAGATTCCTCAGACCAACCACCCTTACACGTTTTCTTGACGACTCCAACGATGTATCATTTCCATAACCGGGAATTTCCGCCTCTTCCGCAGGGCGTTTGTTTCCCTTCGAATTAGCCTTTCTCGAGTATGTGATCTTGGGTAGGCTGTGCATTCCGTTTGGTGAACGCTTATCGAGCATAGCGGGTGCGCCGCCCTCCCGTAAACTAGCCAAAAGTGAATCCCCGGCTGCAGAAATGTCTCTATCCTCCGAGGTAGCAAGTGACTCTGGAGGAGACAATGTAAACGACGGCCCCGAGGGGTTACCGAGGGCAGTGGTGGGTAGGTCGTCCATTGTTCCAACTGAAGAGGCGGAAGATTTGAAGGCTATTGATGGCGATGGTGATGGGAGCGAGCGTACTGCCTCAGGAAGGACAGATGTTGGAGACATGGTAAACGGCCCATTTCCTCTCATAGACTTTAAATTGATGTGGTCAGCAATTGTTTCATGTTTCCCAAAATAAGGGAACTATTTCCCACACCTTGTGGAGGTAGTAGAATTTGGCAAATATGGGGGGGATGGAAAGGATGGGAGTGTCAAACATTGAAATCCATGGTGATCTATGACTGGCCCTGATCGTCCTCAGGGTCTCCGAGGTTGATTCCGGGGAAAGCCTCTTGCACAAATAGGATGGTATGTGTAAGGTGAAGTGGGGGGGGGGGTTATTTTTTTTCCTTTCCTTTTTCTTTCGTTTGTTTTAAAGGTCCCTTCGTTTCCTTTCCTTAGTTGTTTCAAGAGCTGATAAAAGCTGCTTAAATAACTGTTGCGAACGGCGAACCGGAATGTCTTGGGGAAGGAAATGTAATGCCACGGCAACAGGCGTCAGAAAGCTGTGAAGATTGTAGAGTCCAGACAAATCGGGACGAAATTATTGAATTGAAAGCAAATGAGTGAATAGAGGAAGACGAAGATGACACCAGCAGAAACAGGCGACAGGAAATCGGTCCAAGGTTGTATAGTATCTATCAGTGTCACTGTTAAGGAAGGGAAAAAAAAAAAAAGAAAAAAAATTTAGGTTGGAGGGGTGAGTGTGTGTCCGGGTTGTACTCGCAGAGGGTACCCGGAGTGTGCTAAAGCCAGGCCTGGCTGGGAGGGAGGGGTCTCCGCCTCTGCGTTTGTTGCTGGTTGCTGGCGCAGTGGTTGTCGGCGGTTGCTTGCTGCTTTCCAGTTCCCTGGCTAGCTGGCTCACTCCTCTGGCAGCGCAGAGTGGGATGGAGAATAGTTAGGGATGGTAAGAGAGTGCCCGGACAGCTAGGGATGCGGGTTGGCGGATTAAGGAGAGTAGGGAGGATTGGTGTAAATTGGGGAAAATGGTTAAGGTTGTAATGTGTGGACTGCTTGGGACAACGATACTGGTATTGTAGGAGAAGGGACGAAGAGGGAAGGATGCGAATACGGTACGGTACGGTCCCGTGGAGCGTGAGTAGGTACTGGTAGGCGGCTAGTGAGCCAGACAGGGAGTACTGATTGTCTATGGAGTCGACCCAGTACTGTACTGTACTGTACGAGTACTGTACACGAGCACTGTACGAGTACAGTACACGGCTGGTTCTGCTCGAGTAGTAGAGGACGAGCGAAGGAGACCACGGGTTGTGTTTTGAATAGACACGCTGCATCCTCCACTAGAAATGCTTTGGAAATCCGATATGGTATTTTTCGGTCGGGGGGTGTCTGGAGAACGACACGCCCGTACAGGTATCATATATAAAAATTGGAGCGCGGCTAGGCATCCATTTTCTTCATTCTCTTTTCACCGGGAATTTGGGGTAGGATTCATCACCGCTCTTTTTTCCTGTATTGTTTACGGGATTTTATTTGTAATCTTGTACTTCACAAAGGCTCGATTAGAGATCCATGATACGTGAATTTACAAGTATCATCTCGCAGCGCTTGCTCCAGAGCACACCACTGTGCAGTACATCGCGCAGGAGCAGCAAAGTAAGAGTCTACGAGAATTGATATACCAGTATTGCGCGGATAATGATAAAGTACTGTAGTGGTCGGTGCACAGCTTTTTTCCGCTGTGTTGATTCATCCGATCAAATTCGGGAGGGGAGGCATGATGACCTACGGGTGTTTATAATTTACTCGGAAATGTGCTTCGCAACCAAAAGGGTAATTTAGCAGCTAGTTGATCAAAGGCGGGATATTTTTGGCTATCATAATTTCGTTTCTCGCGGTTGGTCCTACGGGACTTAAAAAAAAAAAGGGGGGGAAGGATACGGTCATGGGTTGGAGGGGATATGAAATTAAAGTGCAGGGACAAAAGGGATCGTTCGGAACAGTAACGGCAACCCCACAACCACTATAAATTTACAGCCATTAGACAAAAGTCTTAGTGATCGCTACCGGTGAGACAAAGTCTGTGCACTGAACGAGCATTGTGCCAGTACAGTATGGTGTGGGTTGGATAGCTCAACAGTACTATTGTGGAAAATTAAATCTTAAGGTTACTAGCAAGAAGGCAAATAATAAATCAAGAATACACTCTTGTAAATTTGTAAATCCTACAGGTACTTCATATACCTCCACTTAGCCTCCATCATACTACCTTAGAACCTGTTCCTTCTAAAAGTTATAGTACTGTCTTTTTTTTAGAAGGAACTATTATAATGGGCAATGTACAGAAAGCAGGCTTGAGTACGATGTGATTTCAAATGGGAGTATTTTATCCTTGCCTAGCTATGGCTGACTAAGCTATCACCAAGACTTTTATCTAGTAGTAGTACTACCTTTATAACCATAACTATAGTATAGAAACTTTGTATCTGAAGTACTAAGTAAGATATTTAAGGGTCATGTCAAAATCTAAAGACTTTTTAATAGCAATTCCAATCAAAAAATAATTCTATTAGGTGAAAGAGTAGCCTGTTAGCTTTAAAATAAGGGAGAGAAAATGAAAATATCTGGTGTTTTTATAAAGTTATTGAAGCTTAGAAGAAGAGAGATTTTATATGAAAGATATTACAGATTTGACTTAGCAAGGATTAGGTTTCACATGACTCAGGGTTTTGAGTCATAGATATGTTACTTTTGTACCTAACTCACTTTAAGAGTTATAGGGCTTTATACAAATCATAGTAGTGATATCATTATTAGATTATAATTGGTTAATTGCTTAGTAACTCACAGTTGTGAGTCACATAATATTATGATTTTCACATAATAATATGAATGTGTTTTTATTAGAACCTGCACTTGGGCACTCAATACCAAAGAAATTTTTTTGGCCTAGAAAGCCTCATAGACAGATAAAGCATATATTCATCAGTTTAAAAAATATTTATGAGCCTTATATACTGTAATTTGCAGCTTCTAAACCAAAAAATAAGAAAAATACCAAAATGCATTTTTTGTACTAAAAATATCTTGGACTTCCTCTGCGTTAGTAGTACCAAATTCCATCTCAATTAGACAACTGCTTATCATATTTCAAATTAAAGTTGTTGTATTTTTTTCTATAAAGGTTTGTTATACAAATGACCTTATAAAACAGTACTAAAAATGAAACTCCTAAAGCCTAAAAGTTACAAAATTTTGACAACAATGTATTATTTAAAGAAATAACAATGCTTTATAGCTGTAGTATAATGTTATTAAGGAAGTCTTAGGATATTACTATACCAAAACCTCACATAGATTTATAGTTAGAGTTTGATTTTTTTACATAGAAATATTTGCTATTTCATTCTGATATTTTCTATGTACTTACAATATTTTTAGATATTTTTCTCATAAAGTAGTAGCATGTCAAAGTTGGAGGAAAACTAAAACTTGATTTACTTGGAATTATGTTTTCTGGTTACCATACTTCAAATGTGTTTTTCTTGTCTTGGCAAAAAAAGCCCAAGTGAAAGTTCTAAAAAAAAATACATTCATATTATGACTCAGATTATAAGTTGTGAGTTTACTCAGGTGATGTTATGTACCTAATACAGTTATTTAGTTTGATTGTTTAGAGAATATTATATAGTAACTCATATAAGTTAACTGAAGGATTTTATATGACTTATAGTTGTGAGTTATAAGAGCCAGGATTGTATGAAGAGTAACTATATAAGGGGGCAATAGGACCCAAGAAGTAGAGCTCTTCATACTATCTTCTTTATCTTTTTTTACCTATTTGTTTTATTACTTTACTTAAGAAAACCCATTACACACTCTCAGAATATCTATTGTTATCAGAGAACTATCACCTAAGTGATAATTTAGTAGGTGTTATACCATAGGATTCAAAGACTCTGCTATTACAAATAACATAGGTATCAGTCTGGAAGCTACTGAGTTAGATAAGAGAAGTTGTTACTTGTTGTTCAAGCCTCCATTACAGGTAGGAATTGATATAAGAGAATTGAAATGTTTAGGATATTTTGGGGTATATTAATTGCTATTAATATTCAGAGGGCATTGAGTAAATAGAATTCTACTAAGATATTAATCTATATTAAGAATCTTGTTAGAGTATTAATATATGATTTCTGAGTCAGGATAAATATTTACCTACTCTGACTACAGAGTTTCCACAGTATATAAGGTACCTCCTCAAAAGTGTTGATGAAATGATCTTTTTACATCAAAAATTAGCAGGTTTGATCAACCCCCACACCTGGAATTGCTTCAAATAATCCTTGCAGCCCATATAATTATTTTCACCTTCACTGCAGCTTTTACCTGACACTATTTATTTTGTCAATTTATTCTATAGGGCTAAACTACAAGTCTCTAAAGTTGACAATACCTGTGGCTATGCCATTTTTGTATGTAAAATGAAGCTTTTCAGTGAAGTCAAAACTTTAGGACTGCATAACTTCTCTAATTCTTCCCCAAAGTTATTAAGAGTCGAGTAGGAGTAGGGTGGGATTATTGTAACTACATACCAGAAGTCAGGTTATAAAATCTTTTGTGGTTCCTAAACTACCAGTGGCGAAAATCAATGTTTTTGGTGTAAAAAGCCCATTTTACTAACACTTTTGGGGAGGTACTTTAGTCACTAGAGAGGAGTCTTGGTAATGACTTAGTCAGCCATAGTACTTAGAAATAAAATACTTTTAAGTTATTTCACTTTAGACTACCTTCTAAACAACTGTTACAATTCTTTATAGAATAGCTAGAATACTACTCCAAGAAATTTTAGATGCTGTAAAAGGTATCATAGTTGGTATTTTATAAATCTTGTAAATTAATTCCCTTAATAACAACCTTGTTGCATTTTCTTTTGTCTGCTATCCTATTTCTACAGTTTACAGTCATAGTTATTGACAATTCTATATTTTCTTACAGAACTATTAAAGTATAGATTAAGCTTGTTGTTCTAGTTGAGGCTTTGTGAACAGTATTGGTAAATATATTTGTCAGCTTCCCTAGCCTGAAGAACCTGTTAATATTAATATAATTTATAATAACTAGTATGATAGTGGATAAGGGGGAGGGGGAATCTGAAATACTATTAGAATTTATTAGAGTTTATCCATAATCTATTATTGCTCTCTTTGCTATTAATTTATAATTTAATTTTTCTAACAGTTGCTGAATTACTATAGTAGTTCAACTCATGCTAGTATATACTAGATTAGTGCAGAGACTTTGTCTCACCTAGAGTAATTACTAAGACTTTTGTCTAGTGACTCTGCTTGGAATGAAATAAAAATTTAGATAGATATTTACTAAATATAATAAAAACTCTATATGAAATTTTAAAGAAAAAACAAAACTTACTACTTCATATACTATTTTTTTTGCATCTAAAAGAGTAACTACTCTCCTAGATATTGACTTGTACAATCTTTTCAAGAATTCTTTTTTAGTAATCTTGATTAAAACCATATTAAAAGCTTTTGTGAAATACCTAATAGTATCTGAATCCTCCTGAGTCTTATGAATATCAAGAAAGTACTAGTATAGATTTTCTTTTACCTTTTTCTAATAGTACTTAATAGGTATTATAAATTGTAACTAAGTAATAATTAGGTTTTATATGACTAGGGATTCTGAGTCATATATGTATTATATTTTGAACTTCGACTTAAGGCTTGTGTAATAGGAGCTTACTCAGGAAATACAACTGCACCAAACTTCAAAATTTTTACACACAGCTCTTTGCAGATATAAAAGAATAAAGTAGACAGTAAAACATAATATTGTTAAGCTAAAGTTTATCTCAATTATAGTCTCAAGAGGATGTTTATTGTATTGAAGTAGGAGAATTTTCATATAATCTTTAAGTAGTTAGACTTATAGTAGATACTTGCCTATCGGGTTATCCCGACCATTATGAGTAAGTCCTTCTCTGCTAACTTGAAGGGTTGCTCAGTACCATCACCATGTTTTTGAAGAACCTCAAAAGTTAGCGCACTCTAGCTATGGTCTCCCATATGCACCTTAGTTCCTGCTAAGTAGTACTGATATGCTTGCCTGAGAGAAAGCTTTTGAACATCAGTGTCTCGCCAGTGACTAACTATGGAATTACCTTGAGAGAGCTAACTAAATAACTCTCTACCTATGTGCAATGATATATGCAAGCACTCATAGACATCAGTAGTTTTCAGTTAAGTTTTATCTTATCTATCTTGATTGTAAATCTCGAAGGCCTACAATACTTCCTTGGAGAGCTGTAGTGGCAGTAAAATCCCATGGACACTACCTGTAGTTCCTTCCCTCCATGACACTACTTACTGTGATAAGAATCATGCTTCTAGAGTTCTTAAACAACCTTTAATGAGTCTACAGCAAAGGAGCATGCATGTGTAGGTTTGATTGACAGAAAACCTTTCTACTGTTCTCAGCACTACCAGGAAACTACCCTGGGAACCTTACAGATCACTTATACTAACTGTATCAGTTTAGATCTGTTTTACTCTGTTCAACTTGAAGAAGGTACCTGACCTTCTCACTTTGCCCCCCTTATATATCCTGTAAATAGGCTGTAGTCAGACAGACAGCAGTGACTTATATAGTGTTATAGACAAGTCTTCATTAATTTCGCTTAACTAGAAAGATGTTAACTCTACCCATTTTAGCCTATGATACTCAGGGTAAATAAACTCTTAGACTACAGGTACTTGATAGAAATATTTCTGCCATGTTACAACATGTTCTGAGCTCTATAGCTCTTCCTATAGTCTTCCAATCAGTTTGTAAGCTAGAGTCTGTCACTTATTATTATATAATAAACAATTCTCACATTCTCTGAAACTCTTG